GGAAGTTTTTCTCCGCCAAAAAAAATTAGACTGCCCCAAAACATCACCTCGACCTAATACAATAAATAAAGTGATTATTAGTTAAAAATCTTGTCATATAAATGATTAGCTTTTACGTTGCTAATGGTCAGAGTTGAAGTTAGACAATTTTTACAGTTCCTGTTTTGTGGAGAAAATGTCCATAACTTTTTCCCCAAAAAAAGCTTAGCAAATATGAAAGACAGTTTCAAAATAAGCTTTTTGAGCAGCGGTGATAATTTGTACTATTTTTTTGAATAATCATTTCAACAAAGTAGTTTTCCGTTATGGGCAAGAAAAAAAATTTTCAAAACTAATTTTAACAGTATCGTTGGTAGATTTAGTTATCATTTATTTAACTGGCTTTTGAAATAATTCTTCAACGCGTAGAAACCGCCATAATGCGCCTTAAGCAATTTTCTTTGTCTACCTCTTACCATGAATTTACCGAGCGTTAGATAATAGAGACTCATGCGTTTGGGACTACATAAACTTTGTACTCTCGTTTGGACCTTTTGCTTTACAGAAACGACCTGTAGTTAGAAACATCATGAAAGGAACTAGAATCGTTTGTAAAGCCTGCTTATTACGTCATCAAAGCTAACTTTGTTTCTGTATGTAAAAAATCTGTCCCGCATTTACCAATTCCGCTATTCAAATTCTCTTTTTCTCCAGAGACGAAACAAAAACCCGTTTCAAACTAAGCACTGCGCTACCTTTTCCATCAAGAAAAAGATTTCACACGCATAAAAACCGAGTGGAAAAGCAATTCTGACAGAATTTGTTCTTTCAAATGCAATGGATAAGTTTGAGAAGTTGAAACGATGGGAAATAGGTTTAGTATGGTGAGGGGTGTATGAAAAAGACGAACTAAACTGCAATTTTGATTGTCAAGACTGATTGAGTAAGCATTGTAGCTTTATACTCTAACGATCTCCGACAATTCGTGCTTTTATAGAATGTACAATCCACGTAAGCGTGAATCGTGGCTTCTTAAAGGATCACATCACGCTTTTGCAAAAGTGCGAAAGCTGTTGAAGAAATGGGAAAGACGAAGAGCTTTCGTAGCACAAAGAAGCTCTAATGATGGATAGAGCAACAGTCGTGAAATTCGATACCATAGCGAAGAGGTTTTTCCTCTATCAAAGACAACTGCAAATGTCAAAAAATTTGTTAAATTAATTCTTATTTTCTTTCATGTTACATAGTCTTTAAGTCATATTCGTCAACCTAAAGGGCTGAATGACTGTAGGATGCTTTACATGCTTTTTAGGTGTGTAACAGTGTGCTCATTGGACAGAGGTATTTTGAAAGATGCATAAAAGTCATAGAACGAAGAGATCACCCTGCGTAATCAATTCATCGGAAAATAAAAAAAGGTCTTCATAACTTGATTCCTCAAGAAATCCTTACCTGATAAGCAAGAAAGCTGCGTCAAAATAAGACACTTTAACTGTAGGTAGCTTCCTATTTTGTCATGAGTAGCCAATTTATCGTTTAAATTTTATAAATTTGACTCGTTTCAATTTTTTCTGATTTCACCTTACGTATATTTTGTGGTTATTGTACTTCTTAGCAATGGTCATTCTGCGC